AAAAAAATATATATATATATATATATATATATATATATATATAAAGAGAGAGAGAGTAGTTTACAAAATATATATATTATAAACTATTCAGAATTTATAAAATATAAGAAAATATTTATGATACATAATACAATAATATAAAATATATAAAAATATATATTTTTTCATGTAGTGATTCTGGAGGGTTATATACCAAATTATTAACAGTGGTGATCAATGAATGATAAAAAAGGGAGTTTTAAATTTTCTTCTGATCAAAAGATTATGTAAACATTTTGGAAGGTGGAATTCTATTTTAGTACAGATGATAAAGATTTACAGTTAAAATAGCCAGCTGAGCCTCAAAATGACTGGAATAGAACAGCCATTGATTTTTCTTTTTAAATGTACTTTAAGTTTTTATTTTTTAAATTCAGAATTTACCTTGTATCTTTTTAAGAATATTTTTAAACCAGAAAAGACTTTTGTTTGAAACCACCCAAAATATCAAATATCATGTGGGCAATAAGAGGATCCAACCCAACATGTGAGAACTCCCAGAATGTCTGTCATAAGAAATATAAAGAACATAAAACAAACTGAGCACGTAGAAAAATTTCCCTATACAAAGTTAGTTATGTCTAAAAACAAACAAAATAAAGCAAAAAACAAGAAAACCTTAAAAGGGAAAATATAGTTCCAAGGTGACCCTTTAACTTCACTTTGTGCACTTCATGGAGAGAAATAGCAACTACATAAAATAAATAAAACTGACAATACTAATAGCACAATTCTTAGGTATTTAATCAAACTACGATAATTTTATACTTGAATGACTTTAGCAAAAATTACTGTCAAAAGCAGGACTAGGATAATAAATTTCAATGCTCAATCTCAATAAAATCAGATATATTTCTAAAATGAGACAATCTATAATTTGCTTTAGTAGTTCAATTTCTAGAAAAGCTCTTCCAAGTTTTCCTCTTTGACATATGCTAGTTTACAGCATAAATACAAGATATTTGTATTTATAAATATATTTATATATTTTCAAAATACAAGATGTTATGAGAAACTGAGTATTGCAGTAACAATTGCACAAAACACAACTTAGCCTTGTTTAACAAACCAATTGTTCTGTATTAAAATATAAAAATAGCCCTTTTAAAACCTCAGAAGTTTCAAAAGTAACTCATGCTACCAGAAGCACAAGACATTTCTTTCATTACCATGAGCTCGAAGTAAAGCTTCAGCAGTAAACAGAGGAGCCTGAAGCATGTCTGCAGTTTCCACAATAAGCATATCTTTCAATCTACGGAGATCCTGAGGCCTTAATCCTTCATATGGCTTTGAAAAGAAAAAAACAAATTAAATGGCATTATATTCATAGGAAGTATCAAAATGCCTATAAACAATATATATCAGTCCTATGTATTCACAGTTCCGCATTCCATGGACTAGATCAACTGAGGATTGAAAACATTTGGGGTAAAAAAAAATGTTGTGTCTATACTAAACATGCACAGGCTTTTTTTCTTTATTCCTTAAATAACATAGTATAACAACCAATTACATATTATTTACATTGTATTAGTTATTATAACTAACCTAGAGATGATTTAAAGTACATGGGAGGATGTGCATAGGAGAAATGCAAATGCTACCCCATTTTATAAAAGGGACTTGAGTATGTGGATTTTGGTGTCCACGAGGGTCCTGAAACCAACTCCCACTGATACTGAGGGATGACTGTGTATGATTATCATTTATTGAATCTTCCAAATTAAATTTGGTTATTAAAGTTCAAAAGGCTTTTTAAATGCTCCATTATCATGGACTTCAAACTGCCTTTCACAAGTTATAAAGCAGATACTGGGACATGTACCTTATCCTTCTAAAAATAAAATATCATAGTATCATGGCAAGACCATCTTATCTTACAGTTTTAAAATTTTGGATTATACAGAAAGTATTAGAAATAAAAACCTATAATCCCACCATTGAGCAATAATCAATCACTATTAAAATTCTGAGTATTATTGTCTAGTCTGTTCTTTCTGCAAATCAACTGGGTATGAATATATATTATGTTCATGTAGGCACAATTTGGGTATTCTATCAATGTAAAAGAAATGGAGCAGAACTTGGCAAATGCTACTAGGGAGGCTGAGAAGCAGGAGGATCACTTGAGCCCAGGAGTTTGATGCTGTAGTGTACTATAAACATGCCAGTGAATAGCCACTGAAGTCTAGCCTGACCAACATAACAAGATCTCATCTCTCTCTTTCTTTTTTAAGGAAAGTTAACCTAAACTTTTCTATATAGGAATACTATTAAATGAGAGAAAGAAGCACTGCAATTTAATCCAAATTATACTTAGAAAAGCGCCAAACTATCGCATAGTTTGCTTTTAAGCTAATTTATGAGACATGAGTTCCCCTGCAAAAACCTAAGAAACTCTTAAATGGTTAAATCAGTACTACTCATTCTAGTACAGAAGTCATACATTGCTTCTAGAAAATGTATTCAAAATCCAGACTTGGGATTCCAGGTACCTCTCCTTGCCTCAGCAATGGCAGTGACTATTTCTTGATATTCCCAATGCTGGCAATTTTACATTTTCTGGTCTTATATCCTAAATGTGCTTTTTCAGGTTAGCCATCATTCGACTTCATTTACATTGATCCAAATAGGGAAAGAGAAAATGGTGAATTTAATAATGATTCTCCAGATTAGTGTTATCTTGAGAATGACAGTGCAAGTAACTTATAGGGAAAATTAGCTTTGCTTGCAATTCTGACACAATATATCTGAAGATTTAATTTTAGGTAAATTAAGAAAGAAGAGATAATATGAAACGATCTGTATAGATCCAGTTTTTAAAAATGCATGTAGCTTTAAACTTCAATAGGTAACAGTGGAAGAAAAATACTTCTTAAAGGACAGAGACACACTGCCTTCATGAACATATAACATATCCACTCTGAATCTTCACAACAGAACTGTAATTAGGTCATGTGAAGCATTTCAATACATTGCTCAGTCCCAAGTGGGCACTACTTCACTCTTCTGCAAGACAGATTAAAATGAAGGTGCCTTTCTCCTTCCTGTTGCAAAGATAAACTGCTTCTATTTTCAGACTAAACAAACCAGAAATAACCTTCAAAGCAGTCAGTACTGACACAAAGAAAAAGAAAACTAAATTAAAAAGAAATGTGAATAAAATTACCTCTTTTGCATCAGTGCATACTACTGTTACCAAAAGACCACTGAAAAATTGTGAAACAGCTATCATACAAACTGCACAGTCTTGATATTATTATAAAATGATAGTTCCCTTCAAAAATTATTTCAGGAAAACTGTCACATAAAGGAGTTATGAAAGTATTTGCTTTTACTTTTTTCCACAAGGAAAACAGCCTCCCCTCCCCTTTGCCATCCTGACTACATCGGTAAAACATGTTTACTGTTAAAAAAAAAAAAAAAAAGAAAAGAACAGGCACTTATTTACCCAAAGTATCTGCAACTGTTAAAAATTTAAAAGATGTCTACAGCCATACCACCCTGAACGTGCCTGATCTTGTCTGATCTTGGAAGCTAAGCAGGGTCGGGCCTGGTTAGTACTTGAATGGGAGACTGCCTGGCAATACCGGGTGCTGTAAGCTTTTAAAGAAATAAAGAAAAAAATAAAGAAAAAAAAATCTAAAAGATGTTTAGATGCTCAAGAGAAAGGATATTTCTAATTCCCCTTAGTAGTAATCTCTCATTAGCTTATCTATGAGCTTAGCTTCGGAGGAGAGAGAAAAAAAAATAGCCAGGAAAGTCTTTAGGATTCTTTGACTCTTCCCTTCATTTCAGTTTCCTCTCTCTCTTTTTTCTTTCTTTTTTTTTTTTGGGGGGGGGGGGAATGAAATCCCTCTCTTGTCACCCAGGCTGGAGTGCAATGGTGCGATCTTGGCTCACTGCAACCTGCACCTCCTGGGTTCAAGTGGTTCTCCTGCCTCAGCCTCCTGAGTAGCTGGGATTATAGGCATGCACCACCATGCCCAGCTAATTTTTGTATTTTTAGTAGAGACAGCGTTTCACCATGTTGGCCAGGCTAGTCTCGAACTCCTGACCTCAGGTAATCTGTCCACCTCGGCCTCCCAGAGTGCTGGGATTATAGGTGTGGGCCACTGCACCCGGCCTCCTCTCTCTTTATTCAGCAGATCTTGCCTGGGCATTAAGACCTAGGCCACTCTGTGCTATACTCTGATATAAAAGGAAGCCGGCAGCTCCTGCAGAGCAGAGTAGGTTAAACCTGCTAACTAATGTAGCCAGCAATGTCCAGCATGAGTTTCTTGTCAGAAAAAGAACTTTCAGCCTTTTTAAGTTATAGACAAAAAGCAGGGAAGGGAAGGAGGATTCTTCAGATGGGCTTTCATAGCAGCATATTGCCCACTTTTCCCTTCATATACTCAGATGTAGTCACACAGTCCTACTCCTACAGAATCTGACCCCAACTTAGGTCTAATACTTGCTAATTTTTCCATTCTCCCTTTGATGTTTAAATAAACTGAACACACTCTTCCCAGCCATCACTTAAATAACTCGTTTAGGAAATCTCTTTATAGCAGTTCCCACTCTCCAAAATTACATGTTCACTTATTTTTAATCTTATTTGTGTGTTTCTCTCTCCCTGTTGGAACCTAAACACCTGGGGTGCAGGAACTTATCTTTGTTCCTCCAAGCATCTAAAACAGTGTCTAGCAGAGCAGTCACTCAGTTTTGTTGAATGATGGGATTAAGAAGTGGATTCTACCCATTTATAATAAATAATTTGGAAGAAAAGACTAAATTAAGATGTATATAACTTTTTAACTAAATTACGAAGTTATAGAAATATACACTGTCCATATCATTAACTGAATTAAAACTCAGCTGAAATACACATTTCACCTGAGAACATAAATTTTTAAAAGTACCTAAATATATGACTTAATACAATCATAGAGCAGGCCATGTAAAATCACGAGCATAGGCAAAATAACCCAAAAGTTAACCAGGGTCAAAGTAGAAGGTACAAAAATAAGTTTTAAAGAAAGCATTGATGTTTTTAAAAATTCAAGGGGGCCAGGTGTGGTGGTTCACGTCTGTAATCCCAGCATTTTGCAAGGCCAAGGTAGGTGGATCACATGAGGCCAGGAGTTCAAGACAAGCCTGGTCGACATGGTGAAACCCTGTCTCTACTAAAAATACAAAAATTAGCCAGATGTGGCAGTGGGTGCCTGTAATCCCAGCTACTTGGGAGGCTGAGGCAGGAGAATCACTTGAACCTGGGAAGTGGAGGTTGCAGTGAGCCAAGATGGCGCCACTGTTTTCCATCCTGAGTAACAGAGTGAGACTCTGTCTCAAAAAATAATAATTAAAAAAAAATTCAGGTAAAACTCATAAAATTAACCATTTTAAGGTGTACAATCCAGTGGCATCTAGTACACTTATACAATGTTGTACAATCACCCCCTTTATCTAGTTTCAAAACATTTCCATAACTCCAAAAGAAAGCACTATAAACATTAAGTAGTCATTCCTTATCCTCCCTGCCCCTAGTTCTTGGCATTTTAACTTTCTCTCTCCTTATTCAGCTGTCTTGCCTAGGCATCACAGGAAGCCAGCAGCTCCTGCAAAACAGAGTAGGTTAAATCTGCTAACCAGGTAGCCAGCTAAGGCAATGCCCAGCATATGAGTTTTTGTTTCTATGGCTTTTATCTATTTTGGATCTTTCATATAAATGGAATCATTCAAATGTGACCTTTTGAGTCTGGCTTTCTTTCACTTAGCATAATGTTTTTGAGGCTGATCCATATTAGAGCATGTATTAGTAGTTTATTCCTTTGTATGGCTAAGTAATATTCTATTGTGTGTATATCTCATATCTTATTTACCCATTCATTAGTTGATCAACATTTGAGCTGTTTTCACCTTTTGGCTATTATAAATAGTACTGCTATAAACATCCAGGCATAGGTACTTATTTGAGTATGAAAGTATTATTCTTTACATTATGAAAATAGTAGACCAAACGAATCCAATATGGGTTGAAAAAAATCTACAAAACTAGAAAAATATAGGAACATGTGATCATAGTATTAGCAAGTCACAAATTCAGAAGACATCAAGGAAAAAAATTTATACCTCTAAATACCATAATATGTAAAAAACTTAGGATATGGAAAAATACACAAAGTTCTCTTAGAAAGCATTAAGAAAATATAAGTCACAGAAAATGCACAACTGAACAGTCAATTCATATGATAATCAGAGAAATAAAACAAGGTATCATTTATTTGTCCAAACTAGCTAAATAACAATAGCACTGATAATATCCAATGCTAGCAAGAATGTGGGGAAAAGGATTCTCTAATATACTGATGAAATAAAAGTCAATTAATATAATCTTTCAGGACAGTTTAAGAGCATCTGTTAAAGTTTAAAATCTTAAGACCCAACAAACCAATTTCTAGAGACACATAGGAACTATACTTTTAAAATGTGTACAAGGCAATAATGATGACTATGAAGTAATAATCATGATTACAGCAGCAGACAACTAGCTAATGTTTAAAATGAGTCAGACACTGCTCAAAGCATATACATGTATTAACTCATTAAGGATCACTATAACCCTATGAGGTTGGGACTGTTAACTTCATTTTAAGAAGAGACTGAGGGCCAGGCAAGGTAGCTGACACCTGTAATCCCTACACTTTGGGAGGCCGAGATGGGCGGATCACGAGGTCAGGAGTTTGAGACCAGCCTGACCAACATGGAGAAACCCCATCTCTACTAAAACTACAAAAATTAGTCGGGCATGGTGGCATGGGCCTGTAATCCCAGCTACTCAGATGGCTGAGGCAGGAGAATGGCTTGAACCCAGGAGGCAGATGTTGCAGTGAGCGGAAATCAAGCCACTGCACTCCAGCCTGGGCGACAGAGCAAGACTTCGTCTCAAAAAAAAAAAAAAAAAAAAAAAAGAGACTGAGGCAGAGAGTTTAAGTAATCTGCTTAAGGTCACATAGTACAATCATCAGGCAAACATATGAACCTAGCCAGTCTGGCTCTAGAATCCATATTTTTAACTACAATAATGGCACAACCGGATAAAGAAAATTGTATCTCAGAAAAATATTCACTGAAGCATTTTTTTAAAGGTAAAAATATATAAATTAAATGTTTATCAATAGGTAAATGTTTAAAATATGTAGATTATATGTTCTGGCTTAGGAGAGATGTTCATGATATATTAAGTTGAAAAAATATAGAATTCAATATGACATAATCTTACTTTTGCATTAAAAATTCAATATATATATATATATATATATATATGTTTTCTTAAGTCTGAGAGTAAACACAAGAAACTGTTACCACTCAGGAGTACAGTCAGTATGAAGAATTATTTTACATTTTTAGCCATAAATATTCATTATAAATGTCAGGAAATACATGAAAATAGACAAAATAATAGTAAAGGAGATTACCTATAATCACAACGATCATTTTGATATACTTCAATATTCTTCTTATACGCAGTTTTTTCCTATATAATTAGTAACAAACTGTTCTGTAACTTTTAACATAATATTAGTTATATTAAGTACATTTAAGATCTTAAATCTACTGATAATACCTACTATTATTTTCTAATTCAATTATAAATTAAAATAAGATGGTATGTTGGGGAAAAAAACTAAATGTCTTTCAGTTTGATTACATCAATATTATTTCTGGACTATTATTGTTCAAATGTCCTCTGACTAAATGACCATACTAATTATTATAGTAACGATTTCTGTTTGACTCAAGATAACGGATTGTCAAAAAGGAGGCAATACGGCAAACAGAAGTTGCTTGGACCTGAAGTCAGATGGATGAAGTTCAGCTCACTTTGATCCCAGCAAATTATTCAGTTATTTTCTGGTTTATCTTCCTCACTAAAAAAAGGTGGGGACGGGAGCACAATTTTCATTCAAGGTTCCCATGTGGAATAAATAACTACGTGAAGGACCAGTAAAATGGTTAGGGCATAGGTCCTCTCTCTTTCTGTGTGTACTTATTCTGAATAAGCTTGCCTATAAAATAACCTAAATACAGAAACAAAAGATTTTTTAAAAAGTAAATTTTAATTCCAAGAAACTCAGTTCTTTTGGTCATATGGAGAGTATAAAGCTCAGAAATTGTTGGGAATTCATGGGGAAAATAAACATGATTATATGATTATTTTTGTACACATATACAAATCAATAGTTACATAATGCCTTTAAGAATCAAGTTAGCACTAAATACTGAGGAATCAGAATCCTTTTGGGAGGAAAAAATATACTGTGTTATAATTTCTTTAAGAAATATCTAATGGATGCCTACTTTGGGCAAGCAGTGTTTCAAACATTGAAAACAGTCTGTTGAATAGGCAGATATGGCTCTAGCCTTCATGGAGTTGACAATCTAATAGGAGAGAAAAACAATAAACAAGTAAACGAATACATAAGCAAAATAATTATAGCATGTGATAGGTCCTACGAAAAATAAACAGGGGGTATAAAGTTTCTGATAAGATAGGAAGAATAGGTTTTGCGATCTATTACACAATGGTGACTATAGCTAATGTATTGCATATTTCAAAATAAGAGTACATTTCAAGTGTCTCCTCATAAAAAATGATAGGTGACTTAGGGATGGATATGTTAATCAGCTTGATTTAATCAATCCACATTGTATATATATATCAAAACACAACACTGTACTTCCGAATGTATACAACTATTTTTTAATCAAAAATAATATTAATAATAAAAGAATTTAAAAATTAAAGTAAAAACGGCATATAATAAAGAATAATGGGAAGAGAGGAGACCTATTTTAGAAAGAATGGCAAAAATAACTGGGAGATTTCAGATCTAGAAAAGAGCAACTGCAAATGCCTTGGTGTAGTCTAGGTATTACAACAGAGCAAGGTGCGCTGGGGATAAAAGGTCTGAGATAACGCTGGAAAGGCAGGTAGTGGTCAGATCACATAAGGGCTTACGTCTGAGCAAACAGTTTGGATTTTATTTTAAGTACAATGAAAAATCATTAAATGATTTTAATGATATGTATAACTTTCAAAATGTTATTCTGAATCCTGTGTACAATATGGATTATAAAGAGACAAGAATAGAAGGAAGAAGACCAGTAAGGAAACTATTATAGCAGGTCAGATAAGAAGTGAAGGTGGTAAGGGCCTAGAGAGGTAAGAATACAGGTTGGGAAGGACAAACGAATTTAAGTTGTATTTTTGGAGGTCAAATTGACAGGATTTCCCAATTGTTGGGATGTGATGATTAAGAAAATGTGAGGAATCAAGAATGCTTCCCACATTTATGCTTGAGCAAATCAGTGGATAGAGGTAATGCTTACCGAGACCAGGAAGACATAAAGGAAAACCAGAAGAGAACGCTGTCTCCAAAGCCAAGGGAAAAGTGTTTCATTAAGAAGGAATTGGTCAATTGCATCAGGCGCCGCTGAGGAATTCAAGTAAGATGAAGGCAGAAAAGTACCCACTAGATTTGGCAACATGTTACTCCATGATGGGGGGCAGTTCCATCAGAGTAGAAGGGAAGAAAGGCATACTGCAGTGGGCTAAAGAGTGAATGGAAGGTTAGGAAGTGGTTCTCTTCATAAGAAGATAAGAGATATGGGGCTACAACTAAAGTGGAAGAGAGACAGGGCTGGGGAAGGGTTGAGTCAATGGCTGCTTTTTGTTTTTTATTTTGTTTTTAAGATGGGATCTACCACAGCACATCTGTTGATAAGATCAACCCAGAAGAGAAGGTGAGACTGATGAACAGCAGGATTGGAGTCTTGTAGCAGTAAGAGTGAATGGGATTCATATCACATATCAGCGCCTTATTTATCTGTAAGTAAACACACTCATATGATAGACAAAAGACCCATAGCTCCAGATTTCCTAGATGTCATTATTTATTTATTTTTAAAGTTAGACAGGGTCTCACTTTGTCACCAGGCTGGAGTGCCCTGGCATGATCATAGCTCATGGTAGCCTTGAACTCTTGGGCTCAAGCAGTCCTCTTGCCTTAGCCTCCAGATTAGCTAGAACAATGAGTGTGGGCCACCATTCCCAGCAAATTTTTATAGTTTTTTGTAGAAATAGATTCTTGCTATATTGCCCAGGCTGGTCTCGGAACTCTCGTGCCTTGGCCTCCCAAAGCACTGGAACCACAGGCATGAGTCATGGTGGCTAGCCTAGATGTATTTTCATACTTCATGACTATGGAGATGACAGGATATTTAAAATACTGTAAAGAAGAACACACAAACTGAGTTTTAAAGAAGAAAAAATACAAAACAACATAAAATCTAAAATTACATGTAATTTTTTTACTGAGAAAAAAAACTGACCTCTCGTTTGTCTAATGCAGCATATTCAGCTTCTATTTCTTCAGCCTCAGGATCCCGTGAGAATACCATTTGAGATTCCAAATTGAGGGCCAAATCTTTGTGGTGTTGCTTTTCAGCACAATCACAAGGAGTATCTTTATTTTCATTCTCGGCAAACAAGTCTCCTCCGTGTTTTACTAAAAGCTAAAAAAGTTTTTTTCAAAAACTTGCAACCACAGGTTCAAATAAGTTATTTCATGCTGCCTATTTTTAAAACATTAAAAACATAAACTTACCACAACAAAAATGTAACAGTATGTACAGTATGTATTTGAAATGACAAAAAAGGATTTAGATACCAGTGGCTTCTTATTTTAAGATTAGTAATTCTTGTTTTTCTGTAATGAGTTCCTCTAGTTAAAAATAATAAAAATAATAAACAACCCCAAAACCAATTTTTTATACTTCTGAAATTCTTAAGCATTTTGTTTGGTCCAAAAAATAACATTTTGTTTAAAGATAGAAAAAGTTTACAGTTACTCAGGACTTTAAAAATTTAAATTTCTTATAATTTCTATAAATCTTTCTTAAACAAGGACACTGCTGATACTATTTTAACTACTGTCTGGATGTCCTGACATGGCAGACAAAAGTTTCATTCATTATCCAGTGAAACACTGAAATGAAACTAGGATGAGCAAGTCACTGAGGTAAAGCAGTTTTCAATATTCTTCAAAATAAGTAACGGGAATAGCTACTGATAGCCACATTGGGAAGATAAGTCTATCCATCTCTCTTTGACCCAAAGAAATCCCACCTTTACAAATACAATACATGGAATAGCGACTTGACTTGTTTAATAATGAGGTTTCTGCTAGCTTTGCAGGAGTTAAATATGTTGTTACTGAGGGATGTAGGTTCAAATTTCCCCATTACGTCTGCAAAGACATTAAGAAAGACATGAATGCCAGGAGAGCCATATCTAGGACAACTCTAATGGACAGCCTGACAGTCGCAGGATTCTTTTATAGGATTCACTCATGCTCATGATAATATAGTAATGGTCACTATTTACCATTTTCTAAACACTTTAAAGCACACACTCTTATTTAATATTAACGACCCATATGACAGGGGTATTATTATATCTCAGAATAGTTAAGTAGCTTTTCTAAAGTTACCCAGCTAGTAGGCAGTAGAACTGGGCTTCAGACCCAAGTTGGACCAGGTTTTTAACCATGACTGGACACTACACTGACTCGTAAGAAGGTAAGCTAATCACACATATCGCAGAAGTTAAATTCATCCTGGGTCCATCTTGAAGTTCTTCCCAGGCTCTTATTACCTAAATGTTAATACTTTTTAGAGGTTTTCATTTTACATGAATTAATCAAAATGGTAGCTTCTTTTTATTTTCTTCCAAATAATTTTATCTTCTTTCCTTCCTCAACACACAACCTTCAGATAAAGTTTTTTAGAACTGGAATCCTCAAGGTTCTCCTACAGTCCTAAGAGCCCTCACAAAACAAGGGGCTTATATCAATGCCAGATCTGGAAGGCATGGGCTAACTTCACAAGCCCACAGGATTTGACTTTAGCTTCTTGCTCTAGCCAAGGGTATGCCTTAGAGCTAAGGTGGGTTTTTAAGTAGTAAAAACAAGCAAACCAACCAAGAATATGAAATATAGACCCATGGCTACAAGGCTTAAAATATTTACTCTCTAGTCCTTTACAGAAAAACGTCTGTTAAGAATGGCTCTAAATTGTCATTCTGGCAGCCACCTTCTAGACTCTGAGGGCAAGGTCTTATCAGCTGCTATTTACCACCTAGAACCTTTTTAGTGCAAGTGTGGTCTGGGGACCAGTAATATCATCTGGGAATTTGTTAGAAATGAAGAATCTCAGCTTGATCCCCCAACTCCCTCCAAGCCCAGGCCTCTGAATCAAAATGTCATTCTCATCTCCAAGAGATTTGTTTTGTACATAAATGTTTGAGAAGCAATGATCCTAGAGTACAACTAATGTGGCTGTGGAATTGATAAATTTATATTACTTAATTTATTCAATACTGGGAACTTGTAGTAAGTCTAGAGACTTAACATATCCATAGCAGATCTACTATATTTTTATCCTCTCTGCTTCATAGGTTATCAACACATAAATACAAAATAGACTATCTGCTCTTGACTGCTGCCCAACTAAAGAGTTGACTTCATTCTTGAGTTCTCTATTTAGTTCTCTATTTAGAGTCATAGAAAATTATTTCTAAACGCATGCTGAGATAACTTTCAAAGTCAGGATTTGGTTTACTTTGCAACAGATATTACCACAGAAAAAATATTAAATATTAGAAAATAAGACAAATCATCTTTAATTTAATGCCCCAGTCTTCCTTAATAAAAGCAAAGACAATAAAATTTAAGAAACTGTACCCTAACAGAATCTTGGTAAGGGGAGCCTTATTAAAAGGATATGCCAGAATGTGGACTTCATTCATTGGGGGGTTTAAAAAATGTGTGTGGAGAGGGGATGTGTGAGAAGTCACTGCTGACAATTGTTAGAACTTGGGTGAGCATGATTGGTAAACTATCTTTGCAAGGTGTTCCCTAATGAGTTTGACTGGAGTTGGGGCGAGGAACCATAAAGACATATATCTCATTGTGCAATCTGGCACCTATAGAAAAACTCATAATCAATTATGAAATGAGAGGATCCATGTTTGTAGTATTTGACTCGGCTATGAAAATCCGCCTGTATGTTACCTTTGGCACAGAAGATAGCTGGCAGCAACAATGCCTCACATATTGAGGAGAACATGTTAAAAAGTACTTCAGCTTGCTGACCTTTAGGGCATAAAGTCAGGAACACTAGTAAGTAAAAGATGTCTTAAGTAGAGATAACTGCTAAAATGTTATGCAATAAAGTTAAGGTGTTTTACTTTGACAAAATAGAAAGTTATGTTTGGTTCTGAAGACTACTTTTTAAATGCTTCAACCAAAGCATCCCAACTAAGTATCGGCTTTCCCAGTTTCAAATTAGCTAAGAAGGATTTAATAGGAGGACTGAATATTTCACTTAAATATAGTTTTAAGCCTATTTTGGTGGCACATAAAATGTTCTATCTTAAAAGAAACCAAATTATCATGATCTCAACACATCTGTTCTTCTATTCTGCCTTTCTTTCCATTCACAATTCCAGAGGAAGAGGGGTAGGGGTTTTAAGAGAGGTAACCCCTACTATTCAAGACAAATCCTACCCCATCCCTTTGATCACCCTCTAAATGGCTGGTGACTCTCAACTGACTTATTTAGGACTATAACTTAATCCTGCTATCCTTCTGGTTACTTTCCTAAAAAACTCTCTTTCTTGGCTTTCACATTTCTCAAATTAGTGATTGATACCAAATGTCTCTCAATTTCCTCAGCAAACGACTCAATTATGTCCAGCAATCTGACTTCTACCTGGAGTATTTTACTGAAACAATATTGCAGAAAGTCATTAATACCTCTTAACTCTGAAATCCATCAGTCTTTCTCAGTCCCCCAATTCTTTTACCTTTCTGCAGCACATCACATGATGGATCAGCTCCTCTCCTTGAAATTCTTCTCTTGCATCTTTGACATTGTATCATCTTGGTTCTTTTATTTCACTATTTTCTGTGTTCCCCTCATAGGCACCACTCGTTGCTCTCATCTCTTTAAACATCGGCATTCTTCAAATTGATGCTGTGACTTTAATTCTATTATTTTATCTATGACCTAAAGTATTTTCCTTGTATCTCTCATCTCTACATTATCTTGCTTTTAGAATGTCAACTCTATGTAGATAACACTCAATTCTAAATTCTAAATGAGAGTCTATATTCTTTACTCCCTAACGCTTTGGTCATAATTGTCAGCAGCCTGCCTATAATTTCATGTGGATCAGCTAAAATGTAACATCCAGCCTTCTAAATGAAAACTCAATATACTCTCCCTTCCTTTCAACCAATTCCTCCATTTCATCTCACTTTTCCAAATGTCTGTTAATTGTTAGCAGGCTTCGAAGTCACTCAGGTTCAAAACTATGCCCATCTTATTTAAAAATAAAGTTAATTAATTTAACTCTAATTATAGAGGTGATAGCAGGTATAGAGAATGTGGACAAATCAAAGACAGAAAATTATATTGTCTAAAGAGAGCTCACTAATGTCAGTATTTAACATTATAGGGCCCCCATCCTTTTTTTTTAAACCTTTCTTTCCCTTGCTTTCTTGTAACAACTGACCTAGTCACCAAAGGCTAACAGTTCTTCACAATGTCCCCTGGCATCTGCCTCATTCTTTCCATCTCTAATACTACCACACAAACCCAGATGCTTTGTCAGTTCACACCAAAATTAGTGCATTTATCTTCTAACTCCTATCACTCTTTCTAATACATTGCTTCTCAGCTTACCAACGTCTGGGTTCCCCTCTCACAAACCTAAATTTTATTGGTCTGAGGTTTCTGTGTAGCCATGCTTAGAACTACTGTTCTAGCACAAAGGTTTTCAAACGGTGTAAGAATAATTTGGGTAGCCTGATAGTCCTATTAGGTGAATTTGGAGAGGGCACTGTAAGAAGTATGTATACTTTTCACAGGTAATTCCAATATAGGCCCCCCACAAATTATGCCCTAAGCCAGGGTTCTCAAGCTTTAAATAAGAATCCTTTTGGGATTTTGTTAAACTAGATTCAAATTTGGTTATTCTTGGATGGAGCTGAGATTCTGCATTTCCAACAAGTTCCCAGGTGATTGATGTCAGTGACAGTCTGAGGACAATTCTTTTAAGTAGCAAGGCTTTAAGAAATGCTGCTTTAGAAGCACCCCATTCAAATGTATTCTACATTACAAACATCATGCTAATCTCATTACATTTGCTTTCATAATATCTATCACTTCTCTAATAAAAAATTCTTTTTCTTTTTTTTTTGGAGACAGGATCTTGCTTTGTCACCCAGGCTCACCATGGCTCACTGCAGCCTCGACCTCCTGGACTCAAGAAATCTTTCCACCTCAGCCTCCCGAGTAGCTGGAACTACAGGCGTGGACCACCATGCCTGGCTAATTTTTTGATTTTTAGTAGAAATGAGGTCTCACTATGTTGCCCAGGCTGATCTTAAACTTTTGGGATCTAGCAATGCTTCCACCTTGGCCAACCACAGTGCTGGGATTACAGGCGTAAGCCATTGCGCTTGGCCAAAAAATCTTCAATGGCTCAATTTTCTCTAAAAGAAACCCCAAGTTCTTAACCTTGGCCTTTAGTACTTTCTACTTGGTACATCCTCTATCTTCCTTTAAAGTAATCTGTTTTATTATTCCTCCACAAAAGATTTCAATCTGCATATGTCTGAGACCTAGAACAGAGCTTCTCAAACTCTGTCATGCAAATAATCACCAGGAGAATTTGCTAAAACATTGCTGGAATCTATTCCCAGAGATGTAAGTTAAGAATGTGAAGGTCTGGTTGGCCCAATAATATGTTAATTATAACAAGTTGTCAAATGATGCAGGTCTGAGAGCCACATTTTGAAGAACCTCCTCTAAATACTTAAACTAAAATATTACCCACTCTATTCTTACCAGTACCCATAAATTCTTCCAGGATATGTAAAATTAAAATAATCTCTCCTTCCCTTCAATACCTGTAACAGTGTCTTAGCATAATATTTGAGAGACAATAGTGAGATCATAACTATCTCGATTAAAAATTAGAAAACAGAAGCCCAGAAAGGCAAAGTTACTCAGCTACTGAGCTGGGAATATAATCCCTGTATTCTTTACACAGTTTAAAAAACTCTAGGTGCTAGAAACACAATATAATTAGGTAATATTCTTCAGTCTGACCTGTGAATGGTTTTTATGACTTTTCAATGAAGTGTAAAATGCTCTGATAGCTGCCAAAGTGTCAAATAGGCCCTGTAGCTGTAAAAAGAAAATGTGTGACTTACCACCTTTGGTTTTATAACGACCTCTATTTGATCTGATGTGAAGCAGCTACACTTAAAACTCTGAATAAGCAAGTAGGGCAAGGTGAATAGGAAATACGTAAGATAACACTCATTTAAACAAAAAATGCTTTTCACAAAAAGTAAAGCACTATCAAAAACAACCCCCATCACATCCACCATTTACTGAATCACTATTACAGGTTAAGCACGAATGGAAATGAGGCCTAATGACTAGGCTTGCTCTGGGGAAGTCTACCAAAGGGGGAAATATCATCAGATGTTTTACTGGACCATGCTAATAGATCTAACCCACCATCCCTCTCTAAAGTCCACTCTTGTTCTCAAGCAGAAAGCCAAAACTCCCAGCAACTAAGAAAAGTGTATTATTTATTAAATTCTTGTCAGACTTATGTTTTAATGGAGCTTTATTTTTGTGTACTGAGTATCCACTACATAGTGCTTTTTAAATCCTTTGTATAACTGAAGCTTATAGGACCTGTTACATATTGATAACGCTATTTTATATATTTAAAATAAGCTTCTCAAGTATGGAGTCATCTTAGGCCAAATCAAGCCTGCTGCCTGTTTCTGTATAATCCACAAACTAAAAATAGTTTTTACATTTTCAATGGTTGAAAAGAATAAAGAGATTTCAGGACATATGAAAATTATAAGCAAGTCAAATGGTGATGTCAATACATAAAAATTTATTAGAACACTGCCATTCTCTTTTGTATATGTAATGTCTGGCTGCCTGCAGGGTACAATGTCGAGTTGCCTAAAATATTTACTATCTGGGCTTTCACAGAAAAAAGTTTGCTGACCTGTGAATAACTTTAGGAATAGTAAATAAAATTAGAATTTGAGGTGCTTTATTTATAGTCTGTCCTTAATAAATGTTTATCATATAAGCATTTCCAATTTTCAAACAATTCTAGACTACTCTTCTGCATTATTTTTATCTCATAAATAATTTAGGATCCTTAATTTGTGAAACTCCAGATTTTTCTGTGTAAGGAAGTTCTGAAAAATACGCCCAAGTGAGGATTCAACATAAAGCACTTAGCATTAGAAAGTGGCCACAGAAATAATGAAGGAACTGGTCTAAAGAGACAGAGCTCACTCTGCCATCCGTAGCATGAGTTTGATGCAATTAAAGAAAAAAAAAAAAGGGAAATCTGAGATAAGTATGGGTATCCCTAATGGATAAGGCGATAATGGTGGCACTATTAATGAAGTCTCCAGTGGTTAGAAAAGATGACAGTACAATTCTGGAAATGCTGAATTTGAAAGATTGCTTGATATCCATATGAAGAAGTTAACCAGGCAGCAACATAGCATGAAAAAGTTCAAGAAGTCAAGTCTAGGCATCAGAGACACAGCCAATGCAACTCTCTATATACCGTGTGATACCGCCACACCCAGTGGTTCCCAGAAGAACTCTATAATTAAGGGGCTTTAATTTTATGTTCTCTGTGTGTGTGTATGGGGAGGGGGAGCTTATTACAGAACATGATTATTACAGGGAGATGGGGAAGTTTTAAAATAAATATTTTATTACAAACGTGCAAAATAATGAGCTACAGGAAACTGTTTAAATTATTAAATGCCAATGATGACTTCATCAACTCTATTTTTTCTTTTTTTTTCTATTTTTAAAAAATTTTCCTGTAAATGTCATTAGTAACTGGCATCAAAGAGAAAAACATTTTCGGTAACTATAGAAGATATACTTCCACAGACATAGTTAAAAGCAAGTTGGCTTTAACCATGGGAAAAAAGATATTTTCTTTGATATTAAAGGCTAGACACTAAAAATGGGATATATTTTACTACAATAACAGGTTAATAGAGAATTTCTGTTAAAAGGAATCTTTGAAATACATTTGAGATCATCTATTCCAACCACCCAAGAGGAAACTATCACAGTGGCTGAGTGACGCATGCAAAGTCCCATAAATAGGCACTCTAAGGACTGAGACTAAAAATCAGTGCTCCCTCCACCATACTATAATCTCTTAGTTTTATGAAACATTAATAAATATCTGATGACACTCTTTCACTCAACCCAAACCTTTATATCATGCTTGATACCAATGAACACTATAAACATTAGAAAGCATTATACAAATGTTAGTTGTTATAACTATTATTCTTATAGGCAGAGACTAAAAGCAATGATGTAAAGAAATACATTTAGAAAAAAACTATTCAAGTTAACCATTACAGTAAACTTTATAAGAGACATCTAAGTCTTTCCTGTTCATCAAAGTAGTATGATACCACCTAAAAATAAGTACAGACTCATACTAAGAATGAAGTTGTACAGTTATACAGTAGGTCACATATTTCAATGTATAGTCAGCTCTATCAGTGGTTTCCACATCCTTAGATTCCACATCTGTGGATTCAATCAACAGCAGGTAGAAAATATTTAGAAAACAAATATAGATGGTTGTGTCTGTATTAAACATCGATTTTTTTCCTGTCATTATTCCCTAATGATGCTTTTATGGTAGTAAGTATTATATATTAAATCTAGAGACAATTTAAAGTATAAGGAGAATATGTGTAGATTATATGCAAATACTGTGCCACTTTATATAAGGGATTTGAGCATCTGTGGATTTTGGTATCTGTGGGGAGTCCTGAAACAAATCCCCCTTGGATACCAAGTCACAACTGTATTTATTATATGCATTTGTACAAGAAAACAAAATATGGCTTCTGGAGATAGTCAACATATACTTCCCTGGGAAACTCTTCTGGTTTAATTAGCAGTATACATAATAAAAAAATCATTAAGGGCTGAAGGCTGGACAAGAGTATATATAATCAAGTATAAATAAGAAATTAAAGATAGGCTTTACCTGAATAAAATATGCTAATTTTTTGAAAAAACTAGACTAAATGTAAGGTATTTATAAGGCTCCTTTTGGAAAGTTTTATATTTAATATTAAGTCAAAGAGCTCTTCTGAATGCAGAAAATGAAAACAGTCATCAGATGGTGTGGTTAATGTGGTGTCATATGCTGATAGGTCAAACAGTTAAAGCACACACACATTTACATGCTCATGCATAAATATCAAGCAAATTGTCAGGCCGGCCAGATAGTACAGTATAAACCTGGCACTGAGCAAAAACTAATGCACTCTCAATTTTTTGAACAATTTAATAAGCATGTCCTTGTCAACATACTTCAAAATCAACAACTACTAATAGCAATGCTTATAGAGAAAATTTGGAAGCAAGATATTAAAGCATTTAATATTTAAAATATTTTAAGAGCATTTTAATATTTAAAATGTTTTAAGAGCATTTAATAGTTTTAAAATATTTTAAGAGCATTTCTACTATGCAGAAAAATCTACTTTCTACTCCAGTCCATTTGAGAAATATGATACAGTCCCATTCAATAATGGTGAGTCACTATAGCAGGGATTCTTCCACAATAGGTAGACATAGGACAATGTACAGAGAAGGTTGTGTAAAAAGTCTCAGGAATTCTGCTATAAGTCCCCTACCCTCCAAATCCTAGGACATTCTTCCACCACAGTGAATCAATGTTAGAAAGCACTGTGGCCAGGCATGGTGGCATGTGTGTGCCTATAGTCCTAGCTACTCTGGAAGGTGACGCAGGAGGATCACTTAAGCCCAGGAATTTGAGACCAGCCTGGACAACACATAGAGAACTTGTCTCTTAAAACAAAAAAGAAACAAAAAAACACAAAGCATTGCTTGAAAAGTAGTTTCAAGTTAATGACCATCAGTAACTAACTAATAGGTAAGGGTTACACAAACTCAATGAAATGACAAAGATTCTAAAAGATTAACAAGCATCACAAATATCAGCAGTAAACAAAAGATCACAAGCATATTAGAGTGAAAGAAATGACACTTCAGATATACTAAAGAAATAATATAAGTGATGGTAATCTTTTAATATAAGAAAATGAACATTGATATTTTTGGTATACTGATCAATTTAGAAGTCTAAAGTACACATGAACAACATTAAGGAAACAGGAAATTTTCAGGTATATACATTAATCTGATTAGGATAATTGCTTTTCCAATAAGAGTATATACTTTTGGTAATAAAGATGCTCTGTAATCCAGTCTAAAATGCCTCCCATACATACTTAAATACATTTATGCAAAAGAACTTCTATGAGATATTTAAGGATGGATATGAATATCAGTAGCTAAGAAAAACCTATTTTGTTGTATGTATAGTAGTGACAATACTATATAATGATTTCCTACCTTAGTTAAGATCCCATATTACATGAGTGATTTTATCTAATTTGTTGTTAAATATTTTGTAAATATAAATAATCTTATTTATACATGAAATATATATGGAAAAATTAGGATATAATATAGTATGTATTCAGGAGCACTTTAACACAAATTAAACAGAAAAGTACACGTTTTAAAATTCCAAGTGATTTTTAAAAGACTCCAATAAATGTATTCATTAGTATTTATCCATTGCTTAGTGAGCTCATCAATTTTATGTAACTGTAAGTCCCACTTGCCAAAAATTTGCTATACTCAATATGTATAAATTTCATAAATTGGTGACCAAAAAAAATCAACAAAAAAGCAGAATATATCTCTACTATAACTTGCAATATGATAGTGCTTAATTGATGACAAATATTTTAGGAGATATTAACAAATTTTTAAATGCTCTTGATTTTACTTTATTACAAAAGTGACTGTTCACCTGTGGGGCTTTCTCTCTCCCTAAAATAATGAAATAACTTTATTTAAAAGAGGCCCTTGGCCAGCTGTGGTGGCTGACACCTGTAATCGCAGTACTTTGGGAGGCTGAGGCAGATGGAAATGAGGTCAAGAAATCAAGACCACCCTGGCCAACATGGTGAAACCCTATCTCTACTAAAAATGCAAAAATTAGCTGGGTGTGGAGGCACATGCCTGTAGTCCCTGCTACTCGGGAGGCTGAGGCAGGAGAATCGCTTGAACTTGGGCGGCAGAGGTTGCAATGAGCTGAGATTGAGCCACTGCCCTCCAGAAGAGGCCCTTTATTTAAAAAGGTCTTTTAGAGAGACAAAAGACAAAAAACAAACAAACAAAAAACAACCAGACAAGTTACTAAGACAATCAAAACAATTACTGACAATTACATATTACCTGGACACAAATTTTACAATGTAGAATATTTAAAAAAAAAAAAAAAAAAAGTTTTACCTCTACACAGGCTTTCATCCCTGAGGCAGCAGCATAGTGCAAGGGTGTGTTTTTTTTGTTATCAACAGCATCAATAGCTGCCCTCTCATATTCACCCTGGTCAAGTTTTGCTCCTTTCCATCTTAAGATCATCTGCAGACAATCTGCTCTTCTGAAATCATCTTCTGTGGGGCGTGCCAAGCGAGGATGAAGGGCTCCTTCAGATATCATAATTTGAGGTCCCATACACAACAAATGCATAGATGTTTCATTGTGCACATTCCGTTTATTTGGATTTCCATCTCTACCAAGAAAAGTCCTAAAATGGAAAGGAAGAAAAAAAAGGATGAAAACCGCTTTTTTACTACCTTGAAATACATTGAAGATAACAAATTAAGAAGATAAACTCTACTTATAAGCTGATAATCCAGTTTATACTGAAGGTGTGATTTACAACAGCTTGAATGGCTAATTCTCATACTTGAAAAAAAACTATTCTAGAATAACAATACTAAGAAAATAAATGTAAATATCTTTATAGTACTTGCTAATAAAGAGGGAGGGAAGGGAAAGGAAAAGGAAGAAAAAAAGAAAAGGAGAAATGAAAGGGGTGAGGAGGACAGGAAAAGAAAACAAAGTGGTAATTTACAGATTAATGTCAATTATATAGATGCCTAAGGGTATATTAAGTATTCCACACTAATTTTTAATTCTTCCTTTATTGTTCTGATCTATTTGTTGCACACATAGTTATTTAATAGTGATGACAACTACTATATTAGTTGCAACTAACTTAAAGACTGTAAGTAATATGTAAGCCTGAGACTAAATCTAGAGAAAATGTTCTCTACCATCAGCTAACCTTTTAAATAATAAGGCATATATTTACATAGTGTCTTAATCTGCTTGAGCTATACAAAAATACCATAAGAAACACTTATTTCTCACAGTTCTGGACGCTGCTAAGTCCAAGATTAAGATGCTAGCTGATTCAGTGTCTGATAAGGGCTCATTCCTCATAGAGGCGTTCTGGTTGTGTTCTCTCACATGTTGGGAGGGGCAACTACTCCCACCATGTGACTGTGTACTACTCCCATTCCTGAGGGCTCCAACCTCATGATCTAATCACCGTCTAATGCCCCATTCAGACCATAGCACATAGTATAATACTTTCTGAGGGGAGCTGTGGTTAGATCTAGAAGACTAAGAACTAATTCCACAGTGAGCGTTTATCAAAGATAGGTCTAGGTGAGTTGCCTTGACTACTGCCAAACCCAGATCTAAGAGCTGTGCCTACCTCCTAAAATATTCATGAGACAGAGTCACAGGATTAATAGTTGAGCTAGAAAAGGCAAGAGAAGGGATTTTACCTACAGCTTCCAAAAGGAATGCAGCCCTGTCAACACCTAGCGTTTAGTTCAGTGGAACCATTATAGTCTTCTGAACTCCAGAACTATAAGATTTATGTTGTTTTAAGCCACTAATTTGTGGCAATTTGTGACAGCAGCAACAGGAAATTAACTCAGCAAGAAACCCTGAAAATACCAGTCTGGGATGTTACCTCCTGCCTCTGGAGACAAGTGGGTGGGGTGCGGTGATGGGTTGGGTGAAGAATCTATCCCTAAGCAAAAACAAATTTTCCCAGGGAAAAGATAAGAATAGCATCTCTGGGTTTTACAACTTAGGGAATATTTCCACGGTCTCAGGGATCACCCACTCCTTACTCCCTTCAAATGTAAACACATATCTCATAGAGGGTAAGTCTCTCTGGAGTCCTCAAACTCCATTCAGTCATAATTTAACTTCCAAGGCTCATGTTTTAGTCCAGGTTCCAAGTTTCAATAAAGTTTGCTTATTTTCTCTACAGTTCCATGTAGCCTTTATGGTCTTCTGATGCCGGCAGTACACTCCAATACTTGCTCAATTTGGCTTCCCAGGAACTAATTCAGACCACTCAAGCAAACCCAATCCTACTTAGAAGCCTCTTTACACTAAACTCCCCTTACCTGGTTCAGTTTGCCATTCTTTTCTTTGTCTTCATATAGCATCCTAATACATAACTCATTACATTTTATTATATTTTCTTACCTATCTGTTCCCTTTTCCCAATTAGTTTATAGGCTTTTAAGGCAGAGCCTATATTCTGTTCTTTCTTGAATCCCTAACAGTGTCAGACACACAGCAAAATCATGCCATAATTTTGATAAATAAATTGGATGCATATTAAACTTTCATGATCTAGATCAGCGACATGGGATTGGGGATCTCTTGAGCGAGTAGTGCAGTACATTGGTTTAGAACATGGTCCCAGGTTGCTCGGTTCTAATTCTAGTTCTATCACTTTCTAGCTGTGTGACCTTGGGCAAGTTACACAATAGCTCATAACAACTAATATGTGATTCACATCTGTTGACCAAAACTACTTCTGAGAGTTTATCTTAAAGGAAATAAATAAATATTTATAGAAAAATGAAAATAAATGCAGTGTTACTTTGAATAGAAAAATTTGGAAATCACTTAAATGTTTAATAATAGAAATGGGAAACGTAAATCATGATATATGATAGAAAATCAGTCATTTAAAGTCTATCCATGAGTGTTATAGCTAAGTGAAAATATAAAGAACATAATTCCCTTTCCCTTCTCAATCTTCTGAATATATATGGATTAAAAACTAGAAGGGAACATGCAGTAATTCTAACATTTGTTTAGGGGAGGCAAGAATACAGGTAATTTTTTTTTTATACAGCCATAATGTTGCTTAAGAATTAAAATATATTGGCCGGGCGCGGTGGCTCAAGCCTGTAATCCCAACACTTTGGGAGGCCGAGGCAGGTGGATCACGAGGTCAAGAGATCGAGACCATCCTGGTCAGCACGGTGAAACCCCGTCTCTACTAAAAATACAAAAAATTAGCTGGGCATGGTGGCGCGTGCCTGTAATCCCAGCTACTCAGGAGGCTGAGGCAGGAGAATTGCCTGAACCCAGGAGGCGGAGGTTGCGGTGAGCCGAGATCGCGCCATTGCACTCCAGCCTGGGTAACATGAGTGAAACTCCGTCTCAAAAAAAAAAAAAAAGAATTAAAATATATTTATTTCCCCTATGTCAACTGCTGATAATAAATTTCCCAATCATATTTCCTTGTATTTATGATTGAATTATAGTGGCTAGCCAAAATTAAAACAATACTCTAAAACGCATTCAAAATTAATACCTCTTAATTATGATTGATGAAAAAAGACTTCACTTTCTTAAAAGCTTAATTTAGAAAGAGATTATTAAAGTTAATTCTGATTCCATAAATGTCCTGTACAATAACATTTATCCTGCTTTTCTTATTCCCATTTCCAATATATCAGCTATTCTCTCTTTTAGTTTGCTCAGGAGAGTCCAGGTTCTTATCACCAATAAATTTAATGTAAGTTGAAAGGATGTCAGTTGATATGGAAGGATTAATCTTGCTCTCTCCAGTATTAAACGACTCTAGATCCTGCCCAAATAGAGAAGAGAGTGAGACATGTATCTAATCTGCCAGGCTCATTAATCAAACCAAACATACAGAGTGTATTATTCTGAAGAAAAACTATTAAAATAACTTTTTTATATTTATTCAAGAAGATTCTCAATTAGACACAGTAGCATACCTGCATATTTTATGCTAAAACTATTTATAAAGTTGAATATTCTAATTTTATTGATTCATCTGTTTAAATTCAAAGTAGACTCTTCCTAAATTTACATAAGTATATAATGTAATAATGGGTATACAATTGATATATATGTCTTAGACCCTTTTCTGTACCTATGTTAGTAGTTAGGAATTTTTTTTTAGCTACTTGCATATAAAGTGAACTCTTGTACTGGGATAGGAGATAATTAACCAGAAGATGGGGTGGAGAAAACGTTAACCTGGGGGAAAAAAAATCCAACCCTTTCATGTGACCCTAATAACCCATCCAGGAGCCTCGTGCTTTTTCTAGATTCTTTCACTGTTAATTCTCAAGCAGCCAGTTTATAACTGTTACCTCTATTTCTTCTATATTCATTCTCCACTTCAATATGATCCTATTCTTACAGAGTCATGTTTTCTCTTCATGGACGTTTCACTCTCTCATATAACCAGGAATTTCCTAAGAGTAAATTATTCATCATTGTCCTTAATTTTTGTTCTAAACCTTAAATTGTCAACTGCTTCATTTATATCCTGACCTTTCTATTACCTTGGTTTCCATAATCACGCTTTTTCAATAACCCTCTTAATTTTTTCAGTACAACAACTTCTCTTTTACCATGATGACGGCTCTACTTCCTACCCTCTTACTGGAAGCAAGTTTCAGTTCTTGACCCCCAAGTTCTCCATACACATTCTCTTCTTTCAGAGAGTCCATCCACTCTGAAAGCCATTTCTCTTTCAATGGTTTATGTGAATACACTGTATAAACTGAGAAGTAAAATCAGAACCCAAATGATAGGCAATAGTGGCGGAATCATGGGTTTCCCTCAAAGGGGTTCTACTATAGGTTGAGTATCCCTAACCCAGAAATCTGAAATGTTCCAAAATCTGAAATGTTTTGAGTGTCAATGTGACTGTCAAAGAAAATGCTCATTTGAGCATTTAGCTTTCAAATTTTTGAATTTGGGATGCTCAACTAGGTAAATGTAATGCAGATATTCCAAAATCCAAAAAAATCTGAAATCGGAAACAATCTAGTCCCACTCATTTTGAATAAGAGATGCTCAATCTGTGTTACTTCTGCAATAATTCTTAATGCTCTATCATCCTATATGACTTCTCATCTGATCCCATACCATATAGGCCTCTTTCTCTTGTACTCATACACAACTGAACTCCCTCTGAAGTAACTGTCTTTTCTCTCAGAGCCTCAATTTCTTGCAATAACTTTTTATTCTACCGTCACATATACTTAAAACTTCAATTCTTTTGAAATATCTTCTGTCATGCAACATTGATTGAGCACACATTATTTGCCAGGTACTATTCTAGAAGTTAGGGATATCATAAAGAAAACAGATAAAGTCCCTGCCCTTCTGGGATTTGCACGTAAGATAAGAGGAGTTGGAAAGGAGACATGTATTTCAACTTATTGAAAAGACCTTGGCTCCTAAAATATAAAACAGTCAAAAAACAGAAATCAATAACTGGAAACTCTATTTTAACTAATCCTCAAAGCTACAGACTTTGAATTAACATGTGCTCTAATAAAGACAGGCTCTAATGAAGATTTACTATTTTATTTATACCCAAAGACGAGCCCTTTTTATTTCCAAATAAGTAAAAGACGCTACTTTGTAGAAGATACAACTAATGAATTATATATCCAAATAAGAACAAACTGACTCCAAATCCATGGCTTTTTTGCTATATTAAGTGGAAGCTGTAAGTATGGATTTAGTTTTCCACAAAAGAGGCAGTGTGACTGTGATGTGATATAATATAAACACACAGCATATGGGTTCAGGGATAGATGCAAAGGTGCATCTATTACCATATTATCCTACCTAAGAAAGGAAGGAAGTAATGCCTGCTATTGCGGATATCATATAGCTAAAGGAAATGGGAATAAAATCAAGGACTTATTACAAATGGGTGCCTTACTTTATAGCTAAAAGGTCCTCAACTAGGTCTATCTCTACCTTTGTCTACATATATATGTCACATATTAGAAATCTAGGCTGGGTATGGTGGCTCATACCTGTAATCCCAGCACTTTGGGAGGCCAAGTGAGTGGATCACTTGAGGTCAGGAGTTCAAGACCGGCCTGGCCAACATGGTGAAACCCCATCTCTACAAAAATTCAAAAATTAGCCAGGCACAGTGGCAAGCACCTGTAATACCAGCTACTTGGGGGATCTGAGGCAGGAGAATCGCTTGAACCTGGAAGGCAGAAGTTGCAGTGAACTGAGATCATGCCATTGCACTCCATCCTGGGTGACAGAGCAAGACTACATCTCAAAAAAAAAAAAAAAAGAAAGAAAGAAAAAAGGAATCTAGCCAAGCTCAGCTAGAGTCTACACTGAAGTATAGGAAAGCCATCCCAGATTACATAAGGCAGCATGAGAAAGTAATAGTCATCAACTTGTGAGAAAGTAAAGTAGGATTAAATATAGCACGACATTCTAACCTATGTAAAACAAAAATAATTATAGTTAGTTTACTTAATGCTGATGAGTAAATGCTCTTTATCCTTATTTGACATGCTGTGAAAGTATAAAAGAATTACTTTCTTATTCCAAAAGCAATTAATCATTTAAAATAATAATCTGGAAAAATGAAAACGCAACCTGTGGAAGTGGAGAAAATATTTGTAAACAATACATCTGAAAAAGAAAACTAAAGAAAAACTAAAGAAAAAATGCAATAGCACAAAACATAGCTCAGTTTAAAAATGGGCAAAAGACTTATATGGATAATTTTCAAAACAAGATATACAACATCACTAATAATCACAGAAATGCAAATCAAAATCACAGTGGGATATCCCCGAATACCTGTTTGCATGGCAATTATCAAAAAGCCAAAAGGTAAGTTATGGCAAAAATGGGAAGAGAAGGGAATCCTGATACACTACTCATGGAAGTGCAAATTGGTACAACCTTTATGAAAAATAGTAGGGAAGTTCCACAAAACATTAAAAATAGAACTACCACATGATCCAGCAATCTTACTTCTGGGTATATATCCAAAGAAATAAAATCATGACCTCAAAGATATATCAGTACTCCCATGTTCACTACAGCATTACTTACAATAGATAAGGTATAGAAACAACCCAAATATCCAACAATGGGTGAATGGATAAAGAATATATGGCATATATACAAGGGAATATTATTTGGTCTTTAAAAAGAAAGAAATCCTGCTATTTGTGACATGGATGAACCTGGAGGACATTTTGCTAAGTGAAATGGATTACACAGAAAGATAAATGAGTGGAATATCTCACTTATATGCAGAATTTTAAAAAGTTGAACTCAGAAACAGAGGCTAGAATGGGGGTTAACCAGGGTCAGGGGAAAAGGAAATGGGGAGATGTTCGACAAAGGGTACAAATTTTCAGTTATAAGATGAATTAAGTTCTGGAGACCTAATAAAGAGCATAGTAACTATAGTTAATAATTATATACTGTATACTTAAAATTTGCTCCAAAATATAATTTAAGTATTTTCACCTCACAGAAAAACTATTTGAGGAGGTAAATATGTTAAGTAGCTTGACTATGGTAATCAGTTCACAATGTATATATATATATTAAAACACCACATTGTACATCTTAAGTATATACAATTTTTATATGTCAATTACACCTAAAAATAAAGCTGGAAAAAAATTGATTTGTGATTCTGTCTATACAATTGAAACAAATTTCCAAAGACAAAAGAATATATGATTAAAGAATTAGAGTTGTTTATTCTTAGGAAATGAGAACAATAAGGTAATTTCTGTTTCTAGCTTAATATGTTAAAAGCTTTAATTTAAAAACTATGAGGCCAGGGATGGTGGCTCAAGCCTGTAATCCCGGAACTTTGGGAGGCTGAGGCAGGCAGATTATGAGGTCAAGAGATCGAGGCCATCCTGGCCAACATGGTGAAATCCCGAATCTACTAAAAATACAAAAATTAGCCGGGCATGGTGGCCTGCACCTGTAATCCCAGCTATTCAAGAGGCTGAGGGAGGAGAATCATTTGAACCCAGGAGGTGGAGGTTGTAGTGAGCTGAGATCACGGTACTTCACTCCATCCTAGGCAACAGAGCAAGACTCTGTCTCAAAAAAACCAAAAAAGTATGAGCCATTGTTCTTCAAACCAGAAAAGAAAAAAGAAAACATCCGAAGAGTTTTCGTAGCAGTTGTAAAAACATAAGTATAAAGTTAAGTATCATAAAAGTAACCCAAACTGGCAAGTAAAAGAGAATACACAATCGTATTTCCTGTAGGTCTTTAAATACTCATTCAATAGAATGATAACTTCGTGACAGATATATTCCTGCTTGAAGGAACCAGGTCAGCTGTTCATAAACATTTTAGGTTACAAGACCCTTACACAACTTTAAAAATTACTAGCCAGATGTGGTGGCTCATGCCTGTAGTCCCAGCACTTTGGGGAGCCAAGGAAGGGTGAACCGCTTGACCTCAGGAGTTCAAAATCTGCCTGCCAACATGGTGAAATACCATCTCCACAAAAATTTTGTTTTAAAATTGGCCAGATGTAGTGGCACACGCCTGTAGTCCCAGCTACTTGGGAGGCTGAGGCAGGAAAATTGCTTGAGCCTGAGGTTGAGGCTGCAGTGAGCCATGATTGAGCCACTGCACTACCTCCTGGTCAACAGAGCAAGACCCTGTCCTAAAAGAAAAAAAAAATTCCTGTGGGTTCCTGAGAGTTTTTGTTTATATGGGTTATATATTAATTTAAAAAACTGTACATTAACATAACATTTTTAAACAAAAATAACTATATTTAAAAAAGTGAAAAGAGTGGCATTGTTTTACATGTTTACAAATTTCTTTTAATGTCTAGTCTAATGGAAGACAGCTGGATTTTCATAAAATTTCATCTGTTGTAATGTATTGTTTTGGTTTAACTATATAAAAAAAAACCAGCCTTTATATAGTCAGGAAAGGGAGAAATGTTTTAAAATATCTTACTCAGATAACAGTGAATATTCATATTTGATACTGTATCAAAAACTCAACAGTTTCTTCAAGATTAGTGGCAATGTAGTATCTAAAACAGTAACAATGACTTTTTTGTACTGTTACATTACAGTCCATTGGTATCTTACATTTTGGATAAATCTTTTACCCATAAATAATTTTTAAAAATCATACATTGATCTTTTGAAAAATATTGATTCACTGAATTATGCAGATCTTCCAGATGTCACATTTCATTACACAATATAAAAAGCTATCATCGTCAATCTTATCGGAAAAGTCTGTGTTGAGGGGTTGTCAAGCTGAAGGTAGTAAATACAAGTTTTCCCAGATTTTAATAATCACTTGAAAGCTAAAATTTTATCATTAGCAACAAATAGCTGGCAGTAGTTTTCCTTGAAGATGTTATTTGCCTTTTTTACTGTGTTGGCATTTGCAGTGGTAGTGCAAAAAATAGAGGATAAAACTGCTGGCACCTTTAAGATGAATGAAGGTAGTAGCACCCAACTGTATTAGTAATAATTGTATTCATCATCATAGTTGTTTTTTCTTTCACCACTTTGTTACCAATTAGTTCATAGTAATGTTTTCCCTAATATCAATTAGTTTACAGTAATACTTACCCTAATATTTTATTCATTCCATGTCTAGCAGCATAATGCAATGGAGTATTGTGCTGGTAGGGTTCCCCATAAGATGTATTTGGATCAAGGGATTCTTTTAGCTGAGGATTGTTTTCATATATTTGGCAGGCCAGGTTTTCATCACCATTGATGAGTGCTTTACGAAATTTGGTAGTTGTATTTCCCATGTTTTGTTTTGTTTTGTTTTTTCTGATAGGCAGTGGCACTTTTTTCCTTCTATCTTCAGCCACTTCTGGAACACTTCTGCAACATCTTTCACATTCTAATGAAGGAAGAATTATTCAAATTAGATTGTAAAACAATAAGCACAAAAGAAACAACACAATTAGAAACACTAAAAAAATCTGGGAATCATTTATAAGGGAACCAATTATATTATATTACATTTTACCAAATTATCTTAAGAGTAAAAAACTCAAATTTTTAACACTGTCCAAATTAACTTCTTGTTAAACTATAACTTTCCCACACAGAGACTGTTAAGGTTTCACAGGCTGTCCTTTGCACTACAAAATTTAACCACATATATGAACTTTTCAATTTTCCTCTTCACATGGGCAGAAATGAGCTTGACTGAATTTTATGGTTGAAAACACTTAAATTTCTGCATAAATTATGTATAAATCTTACTCAGCCAATTTGAGGGATAACGAAAAATGTAGGAAATTTTGCCCGCAGAAGAGGTGTTAAAATGCATTAAGGGAAAAGTGAAACTGCTCAGTTCTTTATGAGGACATCACAGAAAAGACATAAAATGTAAACATACAGGAATATACAGTTCAATGACACTCAGATAATCATAGAAAAGTACTAAAACTGATTATATACAGAACAACACAAACAGTGATTATTCTACCATTTAAGACTATTAAATTTATTTCTTTCTGCTATACAGAATTCAAAACAAGTCTGGAAACATCAAATGTTTATGCATATTATATTTCGAAAGAGGTTATCATAATGATCACATGGGCAATGGGATTACTAATTTAATTACTACTGAAGCAATGTGAAGTGGGTGGAGGAAGGTCATAGAAACAAACGCTGGACATGGAGTTCAAAACACCATATTTACCTACAACTGGTTGTGTAATTTTAAGCAATTTATTCATCCCTTAAAAGCCTCAGATTCCCATTTGCACAGTATGGAAAGTGATCATTTCTTAGGTATGGCTATGATGATTATAAGAGTTAAAGTACCTAATACAGTCCTTAATGAGTTTAATAAATGCTAGTTTCATTCTATTCCAATAAAATGTTGTTTCTACATCTATTCTTGAACTATGATGAAAGTTAGTGACAAAGAAAACAGCATATGCCAAGGCAGGTATGAAAAAAAAAAGGCCTACGCAAGAAACAGTCAAGTATGAATGGAGTTCGGAGTCTCTAGCATTAGACTAAAAAGAGATAAAACAAAAAATAGGTTGGGACCAGGTAAGGAACTTACACTTTAACCTGAAATGAACAAATAATTAAAGGCTTTTATGCAGAGCAGTGATATAATGATTTCATGCTTTAGAAAATTATTGTGACAGTGTAGAAGACAGAATAGAGGGAGGAAAACTTAGAGGCAGAGAATACAGCAGTCCTTCATGTTACTCTATTAATTCAGTGGCAGGCTGGACACTAAAACATAGCTTTAAAAAACAGGCGATGGGTGTGGTGGCATGTGCCTATAATCTCAGCTGCTTGAGAGGCTGAGGCAGGAGGATCATCTGAACCTAGGAGTTTGAAACCAGTTTGGGCAACATAGTAAGATCTCATCTCAAAACAAACAACAACAACAATAACAACAACAACAAAAACACAGGTGAAAATAATACACACAGTATTCAACATGGTCTTTGTATAGAGTAGTTCTTAACCTTGGCTATATATCGTCATAACCTGGGGAACTTCAGAGTCCTACTAAGCTACATCTCAGAACAAAAACTGGAGTCTCTAGGGGAAGCACGCAGGCATGGGTATTTAAATTCCTTATGTGATTTTCAATGTACAAACACCATTGTATAAAAGGCTCCTGGAACCTTGCAGCTAAATATCAGGGTGAGATGTCTGCCAAGCCTAAGTGGGAGGTAGGTGTTAACTACCTACTTACTACAGCAGCACATTTTCTGGCCCACTACTAGACATAATGAGGTCACCGTTTGGGTTTTTCTAAGGGTTCTTTATTATTGATCTTTTTTATTTTAAATATGCAAATACATACAAACTAGTATTTTTTTAATATATGAACAAAGAGGAAGAATTTTAAAACTCATGGTTTACTGGAAGAAAACCACTGGTAGTATTTTGATATATAACCACCCTATTTAAGTATGTATGTGTGTATGTGTGTGTGTGTGTGTGTGTGTGTGTGTAAAATGTGTATGCATATACAAACCATAAATATGTATACATTAATTGGATCATATGGCATCAGTTTTTATTTAATTTTTCAGAAGGTTGCTAAACCTTTAGCCTAAAATAATACACTTTTATTGTTTCATCTTGAAAAAGAGGGGCAAATCCTTCACTCCCACACTATTCACAATATACCACAGCTACTATTTGGAAACTTTCAGTTGTTTTGGTCCTTGATAGAATACAACTCAAATTATAAACATTTTCAGAATTCTGAATTAGATTAATAAGTAGTACCTTTTCTGAGATTCATGTTATTACTTTAGAGAAATATCCCATAAGAAAAATAATTTGCATCTAAGAAGAAAAAAAAGAAGTATCTAAGAAAGTAATGTTATCTCGGGGTACTCATTTAAAGTAACAAGTTTTTAGAAAAAAAATCAATAATACTTTAAATGTGCATTAAATATTACTGTTACTCAGTTGAAAGGATAATGGTATCAAGAAGTCATTTTATGGCTTTCAGTTATTTTCATGTTTGTTTCATTTTAAAATTTTGATCAATAAGCCTGAAAGTCACTAATAAATACATCATTTAAACAGTCACACTTCAATTCCCCTCAGATTTATCTTCACAAACTTTGCCTAAAAATTTGCCAGATGTATCCTTTTGCTTTTTCCTAGCCACAGCTACTGCTGTGATGACTGTTTCCTCTTTGTTTAAATTAAAACCTTAATATTTCTCAAACTCCAAGATATGTCTATGTATAGAGCTTCATGAGGCAAGCACTGGAGTACCAAAGAGGTAAATAGAATTCCTTATTTTGGGCTTCTAATTATTTAAAGGAAAACCTGGGCAAGGTTTCACCATCTTTTGAGTAGTAAAGCACAATACTTGAAAAGTATTTAATGAAAAGAAGACAAATGTAGCCTGCTGATGAACTCCAGAAAGCTTTACTTCATTTCCGATTCACTTTAAATTGTGAATGTCTTTATAACTCTAGCTTTCTTTTTAAAAATTTTTACTTTTGTGGGTACACAGTAGGTGTATATACTTATGGAGTACATGAGATATTTTGAAACAGGCATGCAATGCATAATAACCACACCAGGGTAAATGGGGGATCCATCAACTCAAGCATTTGTTCTTTGTGTTACAAACAATCCAATTATACATTTTTTTTTTTTTTAATGAGATGGAATCTCACTCTGTTGCCTAAATTGGAGTGCCGTGGTGTAATCTCAGCTCAATGCAACCTCCACATCCCAGGTTCAGGCGATTTTCATGCCCCAGACTCCCCAGTAGCTAGAAATACAGGGATGCTCCACCACACCTGGCTAATTTTTGTATTTTTAGTAGAGATGGGGTTTTGCCATTTTGGCCAGGCTGGTCTCGAACTCCCGACCTCAGGTGATCCGCCCACCTTGGCCTCCCAAAGTACTGAGATTACAGATGAGAACCACTGTGCCCAGCCCATTATACTCTTCCAATTATTTTCAAAATGTACAATAAATTCTATAGTCACCCTGCTATGCTAGTAAGATCTTAGTCATTCTTTCTATTTTTTGTACCCATCAGCCATCCCCACTTCACCTCCACCCTGCAACAACACTTCCCAGCCTCTGGTAACCATTCTTGTACTTTCTATCTCCATGACTTCAATTATTTTTACTTTTAACTCTCACAAATAAGTGTATAATTCTAGCTTTAAATCTCTGTCTCCCAATTGCTCCACTGATAAGTTAATAATCTGTAGCAAAAACCCAAGGGTACTTAAATTAACAAATTACTCCCAGAAATCTTTTAGAGAAGATGAAGTTCTTCAGAAATAAATAACCAAATCCTAATTCAACTGTTCCCATAAAAGTATTTTTAGTAAAAACAGTAACTGTATAAACGTATATAACTGACTCCCATTCTTTATTTTCACTGGATATAGGTCACACACATACACTCTTACTCAATTCAGTCTTCCGCAACGATCTACACTATTGATAATGACAACCTTAAATCTACAACTAAACCTTTAGCCAGTATAGCAACAAGCAGAAAGTTCATTCAGGCAGCAGGTCCCAACACACACACACACACACACACACACACACACAC